GCATGCACCATCATTCTAATTCAATCCAGCGCACAACTACACTCACGCACGCAACACGGTAGTGAAGACTCGCTACACTATAACGGATTTAACAATAAGCATACAAACATACTACATGAACCGCAAACACGGCACATGTTGTAAAAGAATGTTACCTGATTTTTAATTTTTTTTTAATAAACAGCCTGAGGGCACAAAGGGCCTGGCCATGCAAGCTTAAGAGCAGTTCCTTTCTGTGACGATGATGGTAGGTTTCAGATGAACTTAGGACCGCTTGCCACCTGCGGTTAGCTGAGCAGTCTTGCCTGCTAGTCCTCCCGTTCCTCCGCTATGTTGGGGATGAAACACTTCTGTTCGTCTTGCTGCCCAAGAAAGTCATCTCAACTTCACATACGTTACAAGAATTATCATTGGATAATTAATGATGAAACATGTGGATTCAGCTGGCTTTTATTTATCATTGTGCATAACTGCTGACCCTTGGCTTGCGCATCCATTTATTTGCTCAAGAATTCACATGACGTTACGTTCCTTACACAAAAGAATAAATACAACAAAACTGATTAATCCTACTCTAGTTCTCCTATTTCTCCTGTAGTGAAGGAATCTCGAGATTTCAAATGTGTAATGACGAAGGGAAAAATCTGCTATAAATTGTACATAGCTGTTCATTTTTCCTCAAATCAGATCCAAAATTAGGATAACAATACCTTTTGTCAGGCACCACCAAGACTGTTAAGATCTGATGAAGAGTATGACAAGTGAAAGTGCTTGCTCACTGCTTTCACATGAAGACAAATGTATTGCTGCGAGTTTTAGCATTTTAATTTACAAAAAGCGAAAAAGCAAAACAAAGACAAGTCACAGGCCAGGAACGACAGCATTAGATGGCACAAGCTGATTTTTCACATGACTGTGACAAGGAAAGGAAGACTGCTGACCAAACTGTTTACACTGGGGCTTCAATCCGGTTCCTGGAGTTGAAGTCACAGTTCTTCATTTGTCAGACTGGTCCATGTCTGCACACCAATCTATATGCTTTCCTAACGCATGAATTATAACAGCTGGGATTTTCAAAACCATTCAAAATATCCAGACAAGCTTTTCCCATTAACTTCTTATTTAATAAGAAGAGGTGTCTAATTCACTAGGTAACTGGAAATCTTAGCGTAATTTTTAAGGAATTTCTAAATATTCACCCAATGATTTAAGTCCCCTTTACAAGCACTAATTCGTTTAATCACACAGTTGTCTGTGACTGTGGCTAATGATTTCTCCAAAATAACACCCAATGTTTGCAGCAAAGCCAGAGACTACGCATCTCACCCCACCATGAGTAAGCCACAGAAGTTTTTATCTTCTAGGAACTGGTGCTGCTCATCTTTGGGCTTTTGTTGCTCCTCAAGGCTAGGAGAGAGATAAAGTGACATACGCAATAACCAGAAGACAGAAAAAAAGGCAAACGTAGGATTCCTAATGGCTGACTTCCTATGTTTGAGCAACATGGAGGAGAAGCAAAGGTAAGAAAGCAGGAAGGGACAGGGGTGTGATGCAGTGCTAGAAAGGGAGTAAGTACTTTGGCAAGCACAATGTGTGCTTAATAGGAAGAAATGCATCCAGACTTCCACACTGAATCAGGTAACTTGGTTCATCTTTTCTAACTGGTTTTTAATTGTACTTAGTAAATACTGCATAATACCAAAAGTCATATTGGCCCAAGATAGATCACTTTCATCTACGATTGATTTTAAAGGTCTTGGAAAAAATAATAGATTGAACAGGTGTGACATATGCAGTAGGATCAATTTATAAAGTTATGGGTCAGAAAGGGATCAGAGCTGCCTTGACACCTGTTTCTCCAGTTATGGGAAACAGCATAGAATAGTTTATACAGCCCCATACACAGAAAAGCTTTTACTGCAGCTATGGATCAAGGTTCCTCAGCTGGAGCAGCCACAGCTAACACTACTAGATCTACAGACTCAAGCCTCAGCACACTCTGTCTCGAGCCATCAGGTTACAAGCACAGTTTTCTTACTGGTGACAGGCTATGAAGAAATCAGCAATGGACATAGCTAAATATAAATGTATGACACAGTAGACATGAACATAACTTTCAGGTACTTTTATTTTATTTGTAATCAAAAGGCTGCAGAGGGGAAAAGGGAATTGGCGCCTGTAATATCAGAGCATCAGCCTTATTAACTCAGTACATACCTTGAGGCGTATGTTTTGTTTCTTAATGCCCATGAGAAAGTTCCATCAGCAAACACGAATTTTAATAATTCCTTAATATTATTTTCTTAATAAAGATTCAGCTTGTATGTGAAATGCTACATGACAAAGCACAGCACAGACAGCTTCCCGTGGGTACTTAAAACTTAAGACATGGCGTGAGGATTTCTAGAGAATATGAATTACTGAAACGCAGATTAAGATGCTAGATCCTGATTCAAAAGTCACTTAAAAACTACTTTCAAAAAAGTTTTAGATCAGGAACTACAGCATTAGAAAGATGAGTAATAAGTCTTCATTGCTTTCAGATAAATAGAAAATTGCAAATCCAAAATAAAAAGCAAAACAGGAAGATAGAACTTCCTGCTTGAAAAAATATCCTGTGCTCTAGATGTGATCAGAGGAAGATGAGCCAAAAAAAAATGCCCACTACGTAGTAAGATATGCTATAACTTGGGCAGAAAATAAAAAAAGACAACATAATTCCGAGTCTGTTTCACAGTAAAAGCCAAGAATCATTTTTGCATTGAAAGAACTGTGAGACAAAGATACTACGTTTGTGCCAAACATATTGCTTTAGATCAGCAAATATGCTTAAGTATTAATGGCAGAGTTGTGTCTTCAAGCTAGATAACAATAAAAGTGCAACGCTATTCCAGTGAAGACATATAATGAAAGAGACTGTGCAGAAAAATAAAGCCGAATTCAGTTCACTTTCAGGTATATAATACAAACCCAAAAACTATCACAACTGTTTCACGTGCCAGTTGTCATTTAACTTCCAAATGGTAAACACAAATGTGCCACCTGCATTGGAACTACAAGTCTGCTTAGACATGAAATCATTTTAAAAGGTCATTGCTGCAAATACCACAGAACTGTACATGATGAGTTTAAAGAAATACAGTAGTAAAATTCTCAAAGGCCTCCATAGTCTACATTGCCTGAAAACCATAATTCTGTCATTTACCTGTCCTTGTGCTTTTATGCCCCTCATCAACACAGTATCTTGACAAATTAGTGATTAACATTTTGTGAGGATTCACGATGTCCAACTCAAAGCTGCTGTGTGCAAGTGTAACTCACAGTGAACGCATATAGACCATACAATCAGTATCCAAGCCTAAAAATAAGTAATTTTTCTCATTTAATAAAAGAAATACTTAGCTGTCGATGGTATGACAAATGGTTTATCATAGACTATCAGCAACTGTTAAGATGCCTCAAAGAGGTGAAATTCAAGTATCCAGTTATATCACTTCATATGTGTTCTTTTGGAAAGGATTACTTCATTATTTCAATGCCAGAATTTGAAAACATTGTTTCTAGTTCCTAGAAGACGTCAGTGGTACAGTCCTCTGAAATCAATGAGCTCAGCTTTTCAAGTGAAAATGCCTGCGAAACACTATTTCCTCTACTTCTCAGAAAATAGTCTCCCAGAAATAAAATGATTCATGGACTCTTCTTAAGACAGTGCTGTACTTACGTATTGCTCTTACGAAAACACCGTGACAGACTTAAAAGAATTGTAATAAGAACCTAATAACAGCTTATTGTTTCTTACATACAGCCTGGAAGAGACAACATTCTTTCATTTGTCTCTGGTATGATTGTGGTGATGTATCTTCATTTGTATCCTTCTGTAATCTCACATATTTTCATAAGAAATTAGTATTAAAACCAATAAACAGGCAGCTCCAAACCAGCTCCCTAGACTCATTTTGACAAATGCATTGTAGATTTTAAGCATATCCTAATCCTCACTGGCTTAAATGTCATGAAATTGGTACCTTATTTGGCATAACAAACAGGCAAAAATTTTCTAAAGCAGTTCCTTGCACATCAAAAGACCATGAAGAAAATATCCTTTTAGCCCCATTGAAGCTATATCAGTACCAGGTGAGAGATTTACCTTTAAAAGCAAAATTAAAAAGCGGACTTACAGTATCCAAAAATTATTTACTATGTGTTTTGCCATCTTCCTGGCCTTTCCACTCTGGGACTGTCCTGGTCTTGCTGGGATAGAATCATAGAATCAATTTTCTGTTCAGAGAAGCTACATTTCCAAAGTAAGCTGCAATTTTAAAAAGACTGCAGCACCTGATTTGGTGAGAACAAAGTTGGTAAGACTAAAACCAAAGTTGGTTTAGTTTGTAGTCAGCCATGGTATGCAGGTATCCATAGTGATAAAGGATTTTTCAATTTCTTCTTGCTAATGATCCAGATGTTCAAGAACCTGGGGGGAGTGTAGCCAGGCTGATTGACACCTAAATTGGCAAATGGATATTCCATACCATGTAATGTAATGCTCAGTATAAATCGGAAAGTTTGTTGAGGATGAGTTCTCTCTCTTCCTCAGTGGTTGCCATCCCTGGAGGGTCTCGCCCGTCATTCTGCTCCCAAGGCCTACTCTGTCTCTTCTGGGATTGTGATTTAGGGACTTCCCTGCTCCGAGATCACTAGCTGGGAACAGGCTGGACATTGGTCAAAGGGTGGTGAGCAGCTGCACTGTATATCCCTTGCGTGTTTATATTATTATTGTTATCATTATCATTATTTCCAATTTTTATTTTATTTCAATTATTAAATAGTTCTTTATCTCATCCCATGGGTCTTTCTCCTTTCCCCAGTTCCCCTCCTGGAACAGGATGGGGTCGTTGTGTAATAGAACAGTTGGCTATTGTTTAGCCCTGGATACAGGCTAAACATAGACAGGGACATGATTCAGAAGTTACTTTAAAAACCATACTTGTACAAAGTCTTACCTTGCAATCTGTGTTCTAGTATTGAAGTCAAGAGATCTCATTGAGCGTAAGACTTCTATACACCCCAAGTACTGTAAGGAAAAAGAAAGAGTTGGAAAACGTATTAAAACTATTCTTGAGTTCCAGGAGAAAATGCAGCTAATAATTAAAAGGCATCGTACAATTCTTATTTTTACATTCGATTTATCCTATGTGTCAGGTATGTTTTTAAGATTATGCTCTTGTATGTCACAGATTTGTTCCATAAACATTTTATTTCATTTAAGTGTCAAGTCTGGTTCAACATAACTTTTTACATTTAATCTAATCACTGTAATACACCTAGTTCATATTATGTTGCTGTGCTTTTTAATTTTCCTCTATCTTAATCGTTCCATTTTAGATATAATGCTAATCAAAGTAAAAAATAATATTAATGAAAAAGGAAGTGTGGTAAAGCAAATTCATCTAGCACTGGTTAGTAGGAAAATCTTATTTAAGAGGGAGAGAACTAAGCCTCATTAGTACAAAAAAAGGTAAATTATAGCAGGGAAAGCTGAAAAGAACACCAGCAATCCAAAGAGGATTTCTTAATAACCAGCTCAGGGTTAGATGGGATATAATATTTTTATTAATGACAGTAGTATGAAGATATACGACAATGCTAACAAAATATACTAATAACCCATACTGGGAGATGGCTTTAATAGGGTCATTCAAGAGAGGAATGACATGAAGGTTAGCTAGTATTATGAAAAGACCAGACTCACTGACCCAGATTTCTGCCTTGCATCTCCATGAAACAGAGGGAGTGCTCTTAGAAAATATTTTAAAATACAACAATATCCATCACAGGAGCAAGAAAACCTCAGGTGAATCTTCCGGACTTGCTTCCAAAAGTGGGCATAATTTGCATGTGCTAAAGTCTACATGCAGCTACAGCTCTCAGCAGATATTTGGATAGTAGCTTTGTACAAACCAACTCACGCGTGGCATATCCCACGGCAGGATCTTTGTGCGTAGGTTAAGTACTCAGCCACACACCTGACTTTTGAAAGTTAGAGGAAACAGGGATGAGTCTTTACATAATAAGCCTGATAATGCTATTCCAGTATTGTGTTTTCATTTCGGTTTTATATCAGTTTTTATATCCGTTCTATATTTGGGCAGGTTGGACGAGGCTTTGAGCAACCTGGTGTAGTGGAGGGTGTCCCAGGGGGGTTGGAACTAGATGATCTTTGAGGTCCCTTCCAACCCTAACCATTCTATGATTCTGTGATTCTATGAAACTGGTGCCAAAACCAAGTGAGGCCACCATTTTGTGTCTGTTTAGGAATTTTATTTATGTTGAAAAAATGATCTTTTGATTAGAGAATTACTATACTAGTAACTATACTATCTAGAATTTTGGCAATGCTTTTTCTGTATAAACATGTACGTCACAACCTATTTCCAAGGTCAAGGAGTATCTAGTTTGTTTTCACATGTCCATTATTATTTAATTTATTGCTATCAAATGTAAAAAAGTCATTACCACACTGAATAAAATAAACTAGAACATCGAGTGACTCCTATTCAATCCTATTAAACTTGGATTATAATAGCCCACAGTTTCTGAAAGAAAAGATCTATTTCTTAGAATTTTTTAGAAATCTCCTGAAATCTCATGTTTTTTGAAAAGCCTTTGGAAAATGTCTTGTCTACAGAGGTCCTGGCACATGGAGGTTCCTAGCTAAGGGTCATACTCTCAAACTGTTTAGATTATCATCCCTCCTCTATCAGTGAAAAATTAGGTAATCCTTGTATTTTATTAGAGGTAGGTTCCTTTTTACATATACTTCTGCCTGAGTGCTTAAAGCATCCAGAATGTTTTCATGCTCCAATGCCAGAAGTTAAGCCACTAACTCTATTTTTTAAGAATCTCAGAGAGTGATTTGATTTGCATGGAGATGAAGTTCATTAAACATCAGTTGAGATAATCAGCTGAAGTCAGTTAAGTTATGCCAATGTAGAACAATGAAAGATGTTTTCCTGTACTCTTTGTCTGTCATTTTGTTTTAGTTCTAGGATGCTTTTATAGATAAATTTTCCCAAATATTTATTTCATGTGAGATACTTTTATAATTAAACGCGCTGTAAATGGTATAATTATTCAAAGGTATTCCAATGATTTTTTGTTACTGAAATGTTTGGTTTCCATTATTTCATCAACTTGTTCATTTAGACCACTCAATACTAAAACTGTCTGGGATTGCACTTGTTTTTTCACTTTTCTATATTTGCCACAAGTCTTTTAAAACGAAGTGATTGTACAGTTATGAGAATCAGGTCCATCATTCCACAGGAAAACTCTGGAAGGTAGTTTGACAAGTACATGCAGGCGTGCAAATAAATACACAAACACATGTACACACAAGTCACTGCTGAAATAAACACACAAATAACTAAGACAAATACCCATAAACGTACTTAGAAGGCGTGCATTTAGACTCCTTTGAGTCATACTACCTGATCTGCATTAACAAAAGTAGAGACAAAACCAGACTGAAGGAAGGCCAGATGGAAAAGTTATCCTGTACTTGTTTTATGCATAGCACGCAGACAGCTGAACACAACATAGTAAGGCTTGCAGTATTCCTGACTGATCAAGGCAAAGATGGCAACTGATTTTCTGGGATAAAAGATGTGAACACTTAATCACCACGGCATGTTTTCAAGTAACGAAATTACTATAAAAACTGACATTCAAAAGGTCCAAAGGCCAACTACAGGGACATAAAACTCACCTACTGCTATGCTTCAATTATTCCCCAAGACCAACATTGCTCTCTAAAAATATCCATTTGAAGTACATCCTGACAAGGATCCACAGAAAGAAGACATACAACCAAGATAGCAAGTAAATAAATTATTCATTTATTTCAACAAATAAATATCCTGATTAAAAAGAAATGCTATCTTTTGCTTTAGGCATTCCATGAAACATTTAAAATATAGTTATAAAACAGTCTACTTCTAAAAAAGTTCTTCTTCACTCAGCACTTAATGTATATTCTAACCAATCAGCTATGGTGCACTGTGATATTTATGAGCTCCCACTAGCATCCTCCCTCTCGTTGCTCAGGAAAAAAATGTACAGAGATGCAGCCCACCTTGAAGTAGGAAGATTTAGGACCACCATTTCCATGCTCTCTCAGATTAACATTCTGCCTTCTGTCTACTTTCTGATATTCGAATGAGTTTCCAGCTTGTGTAGCTTCATTGAACAGTGCTAATCCCCGAGAAAGAAGTCTTTCACATGAACGAATACCTTCCCATTCAGAGGTTTTAGATTCATAACTTGCACTTCTCATGCTAAACAGCACCTTGCAGGAAGCTGGTGTAAATCTTAAAGCAGAGTGCCACATGCTCCTGTGACCATATCTCTCTCATTGCATGAGGTTCCAACATCCTTATTAGTTACAATTTTTCCAGGTAAATGTAAGAAAAGGCCATATATCCCACATTTGTGGATTGTCCCATAGGTGAAGATTTTCCCATGTTTCCTAAAGTACCTTTGCGTTCCCTATGATGCAGTCAGAAAATTCTTGTTTAACAACCAAAATTTTTTACTGTAGCCTGTGTAAGAAAGGGTACTGAGTTCTCCCAACGTTTGTCAGAAACAGACAGTTCTACACGAGTGCTGAGTGCGTTCACGTTCTTGGAGCAAAGAGAAAAGGCAAATGAGGGTAGTCATTGTCAGAGACGCCTTTTGCCCCACAAACATGAACAACCTTGTTCAATGTTTCCTAACAAGCTCATTCAAAACACCAAGTTACTGGAAGAAATCTTCCATTGTGTGACTCAGAAGCTAGTAGTAACAACAGCAACAAATATATTTACAAAAATGTAGCAAGATGTAGCCCCATACAGCAGTGCAGCAGTCCAACCGAGGAGTGACAAGAATGCTTCAACAGAATATGCACGTCTAATAGCAGACGAGTGTCTGCGTAGAACATGGGTAGCAGGAAGATCTGCCCATCGCCTACTCGCAAACAAAATAAGGACTCATAATCTCTGAGTCTGAACTACCAGAGTATCATTAGCTTACCAAAACTGCATGAGTATTCTTAGCAAATTAAGATGGACTGGTTTTAATCTGTCTAACTAGATGACCATCATCAAACCTGAGTGGTTCACAATATTGCAGATGGTACCTGCAACACACAGGGCCCTGTGCAAGTTCACAGAATCACAGAATGTTAGGGATTGGAAGGAACCTCAAAGGATCATCTAGTCCAATCCCCCTGCCGGAGCAGGACCACCTAGATTAGATCACACAAGAACACGTCCAGGCGGGTTTTGAACATCTCCAGAGAAGGAGACTCCACAACATCTCCGGGCAGCCTTTTCCAGTGTTCTGTTACCCTTACTGGGAAGAAGTTCTTCCTCATGTTTAAGCGGAGCT